AAACCAAGTTCGTGATTGTTTGATGCCAGTGGCCGGTGCCAGTTTGAGGTTTATAGAAGGACCGAGTAGCCCATCTTCTTGCAATATTTAAGCCTTCCTGGCGTAATCGAAAAAACTCGCCAGTTTTTACATGTTTAACTCTGGACGAATAAAGCAATGCTGACCAAATGCAAACATTTTGTTGACTTCATTATTTCATGAAAGTGAGAGATAGGAGGCTTGTATATCTGCATCATCTTAACGCGATGGAAGATTGTAACCACCCGAGCTCTCTAGAGCCGTTGTTCTGATTTGGCCATCGGTGAACTATTCTATTTCACTTTAATTTTGGTCGGAAATATGCCGTTTAAAGTGATCTTGAGTGATGAAAATATTCTTATGCCTAGTTCACCAGGAAAAAATTGTGGATTATTCTTAGATTTATTGGAGTGTTCTGACGGTCGCAGTCCTCGTTTGTTTCGGAAAAATGTGTCAGAGTTCAGTTCTCGAAACTGGTAGTCGAACGCAAAAGAGTTTAGTTCGACCCATGATTCTCTGCTTGGCGCAATTTCACATGAAATGACAAGTGCAAGTACGTTTTAGGTGGCATTATTCTTATCCACTTGACAGCAGCCATCAGAAATCTGGCAGTTGTCAAGGTTCATTGCAAGAACTAATAGACACTCTACGCTAAATAAATTGGCAAGAAATCTGACAGCCAGGACAAATGGCTACTACCAACATTTAAGTAATGCATCGAGTTTTGTGTAAAATACTTAATCGGTAATTGAAGCAAAAGTTTCATACAACAATATAATATGAGTTAAATAAATCTGGCTTTTCTTGTAAGCCACCGGAATCAGGGTCGTATATTCGAAAGTATAACATGTGGTGTTTGGAATAAGCCGGTCTACGCCTCGAATCCCTCCAAGGGTTCGGATGAGGCAATGGGGCGAGGCGGAAGCTGCAGCATTTAGGGATTGACGGTTGAGTGAAATTCGATGTGAACAGCAAGCCAATCCTTTATTTTAACGGGGCTAGAATTGCTCTCATTTTTCGCTTTACCATAATCAAATGGCAGCTATTTGCAACGATGCAACTCTACAGCCGACAAATGGACTCGTCAGCCCGCAGTACACAACATAGTCGAACCCGACTTGATCTGGACCTCTTTCTGTCTTTTCGACAACCTATTATGGTACCTACTGGTTTTCATTTACTTGTTTTCTCCTCTCCCTCTTATTTGGTCTTTCTATTCACTCTTCAATTGTACCAGCCCATTCACTCTGCCCGTTTGCTGGCTGGCATCTTGGCCTAATTCACACATTTTTATTGCTCGTATTTTTATCCTTTTCATTCATCTGCATTCCATAACAGACCGCACTGGTTTTATTTGTTTCAGGCTTTTACAACCGGTCTCTCCACAGTTTTGATATGCCCCAATAACGGCTGTCATCTGCTGATTGCAGATATTCATGGAGCCTTTCGAATTTGGAACTTAAACGAACTTGGCAAAATTGACAAAAATCTAGACCAACTCTGCCGTAGTACTAGTCGAGTAGTTGAAAGGAGATCTCTCCTTTACTCTGAGTACGCAAAAGACGAACCAAGGGTTTCATCGTCGTCTTCACAAGCATCAGACTCGCCGTCTCCCACCTCTTCCCTCTCATCGTATTCCTCCCCTTGTCCGTCCCCAAATAGTACCAATGTTATTATTGATGCTTGCCAAATTGACGAATCTGCAAGCCACAAGTTGCGGAAATTGCATTTTACAATTGAGCATTTCAGCCCGATTGTCAGAGCATTAAGGACCCACTTGACAGACATCACTCCTGCCCAGGTCGGCCATTCTCTGAAGCTTCGAGGCGTCTCCAGGACTCGGAGGTTTGCTTTGATTGAAGACGAAGCCAAGTAAGCCAGAGCCATTTTTAAGCGCCAACCTGAACTGCCAAACCCTCAGACCACGAAGGAGTCTTAGTCAGCATAAATAGATGCAGTATGCCCTAGTTACAGCTCTCTTTTCTGGAAGTTTAATCTTGATTTTTCGTGCTTATGAACTAAATCTAGAGGAACTTCAAGAAACCTCTTGTCCAGGGCGATATCCTTTGATTGATTCTCATTGGATCTGCGAAAAATGCTATCTCCCAAATGGCATGTGGAGAGCTTTTTATTGGGCGCTCGAGATGGTTCGTACCAGAGTCGGTCTGGTTGGTTGAAGGTCAACCTTTTCAACGAGCTATGCCGACTCACGATTTATACTTGAGTTTCCACCACGAAATGAGCAAGTCATCTTGAATAGGGATTCGACCTGGCAAAGGGTGAGAACGATTTTCACCCGATTTCCTGTAAGATGACGAAGGAGCGCTAGTTTACGTACTGCGTATACTTTTATTTAGTATATATGAGTTGTGTTTACCATGGTTCATTTAAGGTGATGAGGAACCGGTAGTTGAATTTTCCCAAAATCATGTGAGTAGAGCTGACCTTTCCATTGAATTTTACGCAGCTTTGCTTCCCAAAGGTATTCGCATTCAGGTAGACCGCTGTTTCGACCTTGCATAGGTCTTGCCGACACTCCCAGCGGGACTCGAACAATGACAGTACAGCGAGTAATCTCCACATGTCAACCACAACGCCACATTGCCACGAGAGTCCGTTGGTAACAGGACGCATGTGAATGCCAAAAAAGGCCAGTCGATTTCCCATATCACATTTTGTCGTGAGATTGTCAATGAAGTAAACTTAGATTTGCTATGACAACCGAGGACATTACTTATTTTTCATTTGTAAGTGTGGTTTCGAGACTATCGGTAAATCAGATATTGAATATATCTTCATCCGATTTCGTTTAAGGTAGTTGAATTTTCCTAAAATGCTATTAGTAGACCTTACGTTTCCATTGAATTTCGCACAGCCTTGCTTCCCAAAAAGGTATTCTCATCCAGGATGGACTTTAGTTTTGTCCTCGTAAGTGAAAGTGTATGAAAGCGCATGAAATAGAGATTTGTAGGTCGATCTCACCAGAAGACGACGGTTGATTCACGTTGTACTGTAGCCGTTTGGCTGCAGGTTGACGCAGTCCACAAGCCATCCTATCTCATTTCGGATGAATATTGGTTGAGCTTTCCCTCGTTCTATGACGAACATCTCAGTGCTGGAATTCATTCTTTTAATAATCTCAAGTCATCACTAAGGCTTCTTGACTATGCGAAAATGCACTTAACAACCTTTTATCACACTTTGTGATGTAGGGTGAATACGGCTTTTAGTACTGACTTACTGTTGGTACAAAAACGTATTCATTATGAATACAGTTGGGTCATTGGTTAATCTGGGCGACCGTCTATTTGGCACACATTTTTGAAAATAAAACCAAATTCTCCAAAAGCATTAATTAGTATGAACTAAGCATGTATATCATAAATATTTTTATTTAATTTGTTTTGCACTTCATTTAAATACATAATTTGTCTTTTGTTTTATGCCTTTTTAATACCTTTTATGAAACCTTGAATACTTGAATCGACATGTTTCAGTCCTGATGTGCCCCAATTAATCGAAATCCTCTGCTTAAGTAATTTAGTTGATTTGAATGCAAAACTAAAACCTAATAGTAATTGAAATTAGGTTTCAAAACTATCAGTAAACCTTGCAGAAGTGTTCTAGTCACCCTAATCAAATAATTGTTGGAAATTCAACTATCAGTCATTCATGACCT